CGCTGCGCGGCCCCCATGTACAGCTCCATCGTCAGCCTGGCCCTGGCCGACCTGCTCTACCTCTCCACCATCCCCTTCATCGTCTGCACCTACCTGGCCCAGGACTGGTACTTCGGGGACCTGGGCTGCCGCATCCTGCTCAGCCTGGACCTGCTCACCATGCACGCCAGCATCTTCACCCTCACCCTGATGTGCACCGAGCGCTACCTGGCTGTCACCCGGCCCCTCGACACCCTGAAGCGCTCGCGTGGCTACCGGAAGGTCACAGCGGGGGCCGTCTGGTCGGTGTCGTTGCTCCTGACTCTGCCCATGATGCTGATGGTCACGCTGACCGAGGGGGACAAGGCAGAGGGCAAGGTGAAGAGGATATGTGCGCCCACCTGGAGCCTGGACGCCTACCGGACATACCTGACCGTGCTCTTCAGCACCAGCATCATGGCCCCGGGGATCATCATCGGCTTCCTCTACACACGCCTGGCCAGGACCTACCTGGAGTCCCAGAGGAACCCCCCCCACAAGGAGAAGAGCAAGAGGTCCCCCCGGCAGAAGGTCCTCATCATGATTTTCAGCATCGTGCTGGTCTTCTGGGCCTGCTTCCTGCCCTTCTGGATCTGGCAGCTGGTGCGGCTCTACAGCAGCCCCCTGCAGATTACCACCCAAACCCAAAAGTGCATTAACTACCTGGTGACCTGCCTGACCTACAGCAACAGCTGCATCAACCCCTTCCTCTACACCCTGCTCACCAAGAACTACCGGGAATACCTGCGCAACCGGCACCGCAACTTCTACAGGTTCACCTCCTCCTTCCGCAAGAGGGGCTCCAACCTGCAGTGCTCCTGGGGACGCTCCATGTCCTCCAGCAACCAGTTTGACTACAGCTCAGAGGCCCTGGGCATGTCCACGCTGAAGGACAAGTGAGGAAGAGAAGGTGCTCTGGAGACACCAGGACCAGCAGAGCATCTGGCCAAGGTAGGGCTTTGGGGCCCCTTGGTCCCCTGCAGGGTCCTGAAAACTTGTTTCTGGTGGTCACCGTAGCTAGAGGCAAGAAGTTGTGTGAAGCCAAGTACTGTGAGATGTGTTTGAATTTCAGTCTGGCTTAGGGCTGTTGGGGGGTCCTGTCAGGAGCCAGCTGGGACAAATCCCACTGGGTTTTGGGTGCAGGAGGTGAGGTGGATACCTTGTGTGGTTATGCCACAAATGCCTTTCGTGATTTGCTGAGTTTTGCCCAGCTCTGCACCATTCCTCCTGTGTGGTTTCTCAGTGCTGTCCTCAGGCTACAGCTGGGTCAGATCTGCAAGAGTCTGAAATCATCCTGGTATTGCTTTATTTAGCTGCAAACCTCAGGTTTGCCCTACAAATTACCAGGGTCTGTTCCTAATGTGCATAGAGAGACTTTCAAGCCCCTTCTCCTACTTCCTGTTGCATTATTGTGCATTACAGTTTCACCAAGCTTAAAGTCTCTATTTTGAAATTCAGAGCAGCAGCACTTCAAACTCCAAGCATTCAAAAACCACAAGGTAAGCTGTTAAAAACCACAGGAATATCTGAAAAAAAAAGCTTGCAATTTATTAAGGTCGATACCTAAGGTGATTTGAATTTGCCACTGCTTTTTCTTTTAAAGTTGGTTCCTTTCTCAACAGTCAACAGGGCTCAAAAACCTGAACATTTATCTGGGAGAAAGAAAAATGTCTTACAATCTTATCACTCAATGTCCTGAGGCTCTAAGAAAAATAACTGAATCCTTTATCATGAGACGGATCATAAAGGGACAAATGAATTTGTGCCATTTCATCAAAAGCATTTTGCCTCAGTGTATTCTGATCATTTTCTCCCCACTTATTGTCTCATGGAAACCTCCGCCACAGATACCAGAGGTGCTTGTGAGCATCTAAATAATTGTAAAGCCTCAGTTTATAAAATAAATGCTGATTAAAAAGTGGACCATCATCAGATGTCCCCTTGCATGGTCTCTTCACCCAGTACAGGGGGGGTGTTTCCCAGGGGAGAGGCTGCCATTCCCAGTTGCTCTCAGAAGAGCTCCTGTATGTGGGGATGAAGTTGGGTTCAATATTCCTCTTTATTGCTCTGGGACAGACTCCAGGATTAAGTAAAACATGGTACAAGTTCCATGAACTACTTCCAGCAGCCTGTGATGCCCAGGGACTCGTGAAACAACAGGCAGTTGCTTAAGGAAGAGTAGTTTCTTATGGCAGCCTCCAACCCTGTCTGCCTGGGAGGAGTGTTGGTGGGTTCCTGTGTCCTGGGGTGATCCTCCTGTATCCCTCACCAAACTTCAGGGTTCGTTGGTGCTACAGCAGAGATACAAAGGGCTGACACAGCAGCCAAGGTTGGGAGCAGAGAGCACAGCAACACGCTGGGTGTTGTGTCCTCACCAAACAGCAGGAAAATAAACCCTTTCAGGGCACACGTTGGGTGAAGACCAGGGAAGCATGATCCTGTGCCAGGAGCTAGGAATTCTTCTTATAAATGCAGTTGTTGGGGTGCTTGTCAGGGAGGGGGGAATAAGTAACTCACCTTAGAATTGCTTTAAACCATGAGACTGTCTTTAAAACACTGTGACCACTTGGTCACATTCCAGTGTTGTGCAGGCTACCACACTGAGGGGTATAAATAGACCTAATAGTCCCCATTTCCTTAAGAAACACCCACAGTTCTTGTTGGGAATTGGCAGGGAGAGCAGGCTGCCACAGCTTTTATGAACAACTTTTCAGGAAATAATTAATTTTTAAAAATTACTCATTCTGAAGTCATTGTTCCTTTGCTTCCCATTTCTGAGGCTGGAAGTTCCCCCCATGTAAGAGCACCAAAGACAAGGCTTAGCCCAGAAGGTGGAGTGGGAAGGCTGGAGCACCTGTGTCACCTGCAAGGTGTGCTGTGCCCTCCTGCTCCCAGGGACTGAGACAGTGTAGCCAGACAGACATCCTGGCAAAGCCCAGCATGGCTGCATCCCTTCCAGGGGTTGCACATGCCCATCTCTGAGAAAAAGAAATATTTATTTCCTTACGGCTACAGAAATTAAAAAAACAAAACACCCTGACTTGGATCCTGACCTGACACCACACTGATGTGTTGTGATTTCCATTGCTTGGTCTGAGGAGAAGGCCCTTGGAAGGAGACTTCCCACCACAGTGTCACAGGGCTGCAGCAGGATGGATGATTGCCATGTTTGAAATAGTTGCAAGACACAGTGAGTGGGTGTTTTAGCAGGTCTGTGTGAGGAGGAGCAGGGGCTGCAAGAGCTGTAGAGAGAGCAAAAAAAGGGTATTGGGGAATACACTTTCTGCTTGAATAAAACCACATTAAAACATCTAAAGCCAAACAGCTTAAAAATAGAGTTATGCCTAAGAAAGGGAAATTGAGAAGGAGTCCAGAAAAAAAGGGATTAAAATAAGCAAGCAGAAGGGTTGGTTCAGGGTTCACTTTGAGATGTCCCACCAGTGCCCAGAAGGGATTCTGCTGCTCTGCTCAGCATCATGCACGGGGAGGGGCTTTCTGTGCCACATTGTTAGAGCATTAAACATCAAAGGGTTGATGAAGGAGCACCAGATGAAAGGCAAAATACTGACTGTCACTCATCAGGTTGTTCAACCACTACATGCTTCAGCCTGGTCCCAGCCCAACACGGTTCTTCCCTCCCAGCAGGCTCTGATAAACCCCAGGTCACTCTAATGAGGGAACCAGTCAATTTGATGACAACCACAGAGCATGTCATCGGGGCAGAGGAGAGCCTCTGACACAGACCACTGGCCAGCAATCAGAAGAAGCTGCTGTGCTGTGTGAGTGATGGCTCTTCAGCAGCACAGACCTTCACAAACACGGCTCCTTGGGAGCCTCTCGTGCTCCCGGGGATCAGAGCTCCATTTAAGAGATGAATTACATAAACAACATCCCTCTTATAGTCCCACTGGACCAGTTAAACTGCCAGAAGTCAGTAGGTTTGACTCACTTCATAAATATCCTGCAGAGCAGATGGTTTAACTGAGTTCTTCAGGTCTGTGATTGGGTGAGTCTTGACTCTTCTCAGTGCACTCATGCTTTGGAAACGAGGAGACAGTCTTCCTGGATCCTCCTTGAGCAACAAAAACAAATTAATCTAGTAGTTCACTTTGGAAGGGGATTGCTGCTGCCTGTCTAGAGCAGAGTCCTGTCCAGGGTTGATCCAACCTTTAAGTTACCTACAGGGGGCAGCTTTGCCTGTGGCTGACCCAGAGTATTTTGGGGAGGGTCTTGGTCTGGGTTGGGAAGGATCTCAGCATTCATAGGACACCTCCCTGTGTGCAGCCCATCCTAAACTGCTGTGAAGCAGCTCGGGCTCTTTTCTACATGAGGGAGAGGGAAAGGTGTTACCTGCCCTTGACACTTAAAGGGATGAGTCAGGGCTCCCAAACCCATGAGATTAAACTCACACCTTTTCTCCCCAGTCACATCATTTCTCAGTGAAAATTGAGATAGACCCATGACCAGAATGCAGATGATGGGACTTGGGAAACTGTATCTTGTCACTTATGGTAAAGTTGAAACATCTCAGGCCTGGGATAAGGAGCAACAGGAAAGTCAAGTCAGGCTGAACTGAGCAAAATGTGGGGATTTCCTTGAGTCATGGAATGCCAGGTTGGAAGGGATCTCAAGGATCATCTTGTCCAATCTTTTTAGGTAATACTATGTATGAGATAGCTTAGCACCCTGAAAACAATTTTCCTTTGAGTGTTCTACATTCCAAGAAGGCAATGAATGGGTAACCTGGGATCACTTATCATACCAAAATAATTTGAATCCTGTGGGGTTAAATGTGTCTTTGTGTTATCAAGGAAGTTTTGCAGCATGTTCAGTAACACAGTTCTCTGGTTCTTCAGCAAAATGGGAGATGGAAATTTTAGGAAAGGCAACAGCAATTTTGTTGTTGGGGCAGAGGTTGTCACTGCAAAACTCCATCCATGCTTTACAAGAAAAAATAGATTCACCACTAGAAAATCTTTTCCAGTACCCCTTAGGGTTTAGGTATTTATGACCCCAAAAACCCCAAACCAACCCAGAATGTGAAACAGTTACACCCCGAGTGCTCTTTTCTGCCTTTAATCTAAGGTAGCAGCTACTGCAACAATAGCAATTTTCTGGTTTCACTTGAAAAGAGAAAATGCCAGTCCTCTGTGGGACAAGAGAGAATGGCTGTTTTCCCAGACTCAGGAGGATCCATCTGAACCTCACTGAATTTTTGCAGACTTGACCTTCAATCACAGCCGTTTTACCTTCTTTCTCACTTTTTAAAATCAAATTTGCAATGAGTGTTCAAAAGCCCCACTTTACAATTTAATCATGAGCACGAAGAAGCCATTAACATTTTAATTCCTATTTTAGCAGTCATTTTTGGTGCTTAGTGTGTGATTGAATCCCAGGGAAGCCAGGGAAATAGAGGGGATGTGAGGAGCACTTTATACCCTGGCAGTACAAGATGTTGCCCACAGGCACTAACCAAGGAGAATGGGTGGGATGACCAAGATCAAGAGCTGTTCCCTCATAAGCATGATGAAAGGAGAAGGTGCATAAACCTCATATCCCAGCCCTCAAGCCACAGGAGCAGATAACACAGCACCTGAGGAATCCTCAAAGCAGCCCCAGAAGGTCCAAGGTCTTTGCTGGGAAGTTTGGCCGGTTTGGGACAGTCCCTCTTACCATTGCATTCCTGAGTCCCTCTGGTGGCAGCAGCCGTTGTCCATCCCGAGGGCTCTGGAAGAGAACTTGGTTCTTATTTTAGGCTTTAAACCATAGGGGTTGCACAAAATTAGGGCACAGCCTAATGATATAATAGCATTTAATAGCTTTAAAGTCTAACGTTACTGCAGCATCTGAAGGGGAAAATCTGTTTGCTGGGAAGAGAAATCCTGCTTCCCAGTGCTAACTGTCCCACATTCCCTGCTGAAGCCTGAGTAACCTTATTCCTATCATTTTAC